AACCGAGGCCCGGGCGTAGGGGCCTGCACCTCCGACCCCACCCACCCGGGGCCTCGCCTCCGCCAGCCCGGCCGACCCGGGGTTCGCGGACACACACCCCCCTCTCCCGGCCGCCCCAACGCTGCCCGTCCCTTCCCCAGTCCCTCGGCTGCTCGGTCTCTGACCCTGTACTAAAAAGGGGATGCATCCCCTCCCACAGAAAACCGTATGGCAGAGACATCCCCTGTTTGGAGAAGAGGCCGGGTTTGAGGACTTTGGAGACACTTTTTATCAGAATCCTAGGGCAGGTTGGATTCATCAGCCTGGCACACTGACGCCGCACCTCCGCCTTCCCACACTGCCATAAACATTGGAGCCCCGACTTTTGAGCTAGACAGGTTGCCCCCCCTCACACACACACAAAACACAGTCTTTCTAGGCTGGAGCATGGCTACAGCTCTGAGTCCCCAAAGCGAAGAGCCCCTAGAGATTGAGGGGTGCCTAATAATGAAAGTGGAAAAGGACCCCGAATGGGCATCCGAGCCCATTCTGGAAGGTCCAGCGAGCACTGAGCGTGAGACCTTTCGCAAATGCTTCCGGCAATTCTGTTACGAGGATGTGACCGGACCGCACGAAGCTTTCAGTAAACTCTGGGAACTCTGCTGCCGGTGGTTGAAGCCAGAAATGCGTTCCAAGGAGCAGATCCTGGAGCTGCTGGTGATCGAGCAGTTTCTCACCATTTTACCGGAGAAGATTCAGGCTTGGGCACAGAAGCAGTGTCCGGAGAGTGGAGAGGAGGCGGTGGCCCTGGTCATCCATTTGGAAAAAGAGACGGGAAGCCTGAGACAGCAGGTGAGAGAGGATTTTCCAACTTTTTCTATTTTAGGAAAATAGAAGGTGGGAAAGACAGATGAGTAGAGATGCAGTGCAGAAACAAGTGGGAAGATAAATAATACTGATTGTTTTAAAGCCCTTAAACAGAACCCACTTAAAAAAGCAGATTCGAATTTCATATTGAATGAGAAAGGGAAAAGGTGACTTGAAAAACCTTGCAAAAAGCCTGGCACCTGTAATCGTAACTACACAGGAACTGAAGGATCTCAGTTCCAAACCATTCCTGGCAGACAAACCCCTGAGACTCTTATCTCCAATTAACCAGCCTAAACTCAGAAGTTGAGGTGTGGCTCAATGATTGAGTACTAACCTGAAGCAAATGTGACAGGCAGGGGAAAAAAATAACCTTGTATATGAAACTAAACATTGTTTACCTAAATACTTATTTTAATCCTTGGTATAATGTGTTCAGCAAAATTATATTAGAGAACAAATATAATTATGCTCCAAAGGATTAGTCTTCTTTTAAAAAGAAGACTTCATCAGTTATCCCAGAATCCCTTTAATCCTTTACTGTCGGCCACGTTGTCTGAAGTGCTCTTAGTGCCTTGATCTTTGGTACTTTTGACTAGAGCCTCTGCCAGATCTTAATTTCTCAGTGGTTTTGCATGCTTGTCTAGTTGCTTTTCAGGGCCCTCATTAACCTCAGGGAATCCTGCAGCCTTTGCCAGATTTGCACCTTCACCTAGCCCAGGATTTGCACTCTGTAAAGATCTATCAGCAGGATGCTGATAGGTTACAAACAGAAAAATCAATGGGTGGGTTAATTTTGTAAGTTTCTAGTTCCCTGGTGAATATATTTGTTTGCTGCTAATTCATTCCTCTGTGAACCCTAATAGACATGACCACTCAATCACTATTAAGAAAGAGGCTCTGAGCCCGGATTACTCACACTTATAAACCTAGATACTCAGGAAGCTAAGATGTAAGGACCAAGGTTCAAAGCCAGCAGGGGCAGGAAAGTCCTGAGACTCTTATCTTCAATTAACCACCAAAAGCCAGAAGGGAAGCAGTGGCTCAAGTTGTAGAGCACCAGCCTTGAGCAAAAAGGCTTAGGGATCATGTCCAGGCCAAGTTTGTTTTGTTTTCTTTTTTCCAGTTCTGGGGCTTGAACTCAGGGCCTGGGTGATGTCCCTGAGCTTCTTTGGCTCAAGGCTAGCACTCTACCACTTGAGCCACAGTGCTACTTCTGGCTTTTTTCTAGTAGTTTATTGGAGATAAGAGCCTCATGTACTTTTCTGCCAGGGATGGCTTCAAACCACAATCCTCAGATCTCAGCCTCCTGAATAGCTAGGATTATAGGCATGAACCACCACACCCAGCTCCAGGCCAAATTTAAACCCCAGTACTGTCTCAGAAGAAGACAACTAAGAAAGATGCTCTGCATTTCACCCCAAACATTTCTCCCACCTTACTAGCAATGAAAAGTACTCTCCATGGACGTAGAAGAGCAGTTCAAATGGTAGAGTGCCAGCCTTGAACAGAAAAAGGCAAGTGAGAATCTGAGTTCAAGCATCAGTACCAACACACACACGCACTCTCTTTCTCTCTCTCTCTCTCTTTCTCTCTCTCTCACAGACACACACACACACACACTCCTATTCTCTTGCCCAAACTTACAGTACCGTGAGCTAAACATCCACAGAGGCTCTATTGGAAACAGGGAAAATTTCATTCTTTCTCAAATCTTCTGTCCTCTTTTTACATCTTTCTTGGAGGAATTTAGCCCTGATTTGGGTATCTTTTTCACTCTTTCCATTATGGTATTGTTTTCTCTTCCCAGGTTGACAGTCCTCTGCACTCAGAGAAGCAAGCCCCACGTGGAACTGTGTGGGAGATAGCAGAATTCCAGCCAGAGCATGAACCCCAGTCCAGAGTGGTATCTCTAGAAGAAGCTAGAAACCTCCACACAGGATGCCAGGAACAGCTGACCCGGAAGAGAGTGCATCGGCCCTTGTCCAAGAATGGTGAGAAGACCTTAAAAGCACATGCAAAGCAGAGAGCAGAGCAAATTTGTACTGTACCCTTAGTGCTGTGATTCGTACTTATTTTTTAAATCTCTGTTATCAGCTTAGAGAATTTTTTTGTACTGCTACACATCCATGTGCTTTTGCCAGACTGCATACAACTTGAAAAACTGAAAATAGAAATATTATTTATGTTCTAAATTTGAGGCACATTAGGCATACAGAGAGATAAACAGTGAATCTTTACAGATAGGAGACAGATACTAACATATAGGTTCCCTAGATAAGAATGAAATAAGTCAACACAAGAAAATGGCCCACCTGACCTTCGCAGTCCATTTATCTTTCCATCTCCTGAAGTGTGACTCCATCTCAGGCTTAAAAAGAAGGAAAACACAACCCAGAGGGGAAGACACCACTCAGGAATGTCTGGCTTGTTTCAAACAAACCAGTCACCATCTGACAAATTGCCAAAAGGGAGAGGAAAAAAGATGGAGAAGGACAGTAAAAAACAGTGGGTCTCAGACCATGTGGTGAACAATGGTGTTTCCAGGTTCTGCTGCTCACTCTCCTGAGTGGCCTTTACTTTCTTTTTACTGAGTAAACTCGGTACAGCTGTGGAAGGGGAAAAAGGGACAGAAACATCGTTGGACCTACAGTTAGAAGACTCACCTACATCTTGTCTCTGCCCCCTGCCTGTAGGATCTTGGGCAGATAATATGAAGAGGCACATTATTGCATGGAGTCTGCAAAGGCAGGAAGAACTGGGTTCAAGACACAGATCTCCCTTAAAAATGTGTGGCATTGTTCAAGTCATTTCTCTAACTTCATATTCCTTCATCTACAAAAGGGAAATGACAAGGCTGGTGGTATAGATTTAACACAGCAGTATAAAGGGGCTTTCTCCCATAATGCAAAAAAAAAAATTTTTTTTTGGTGCTGATCCTGGGGCTTGAACTCAGGGCCTGGGTGCTGTCTCTGAGCTATTTTGCTCAAGGCTAGCATTCTATATCACTTGAGCCACAGCTCTACTTCTAGCCTTTTGGTGGTTAATTGGACATGAGAGTATCATATACTTTCCTGCCCAAGCTGGCTTCATACTGCAATCCTCAGATCTCAGCCTCCTAAGCAGCTAGGATTACAGATGAGCCACCAACACTTCACTGCAAAATTATTTTTAAACCTCAACTCTAACTTACACAAGATTTTATCAAAAGATAGATCCACTACCATGCCCTACTTGTATGTCTCTCTCCAGTTTCAATTTATACATGATAGAATGCATCACAAACATTAATGAGTGTGTTCATTTAATGTGGACCCCCACTTGATCCATGGAATACATGTGTCCGGTAAGTGGACTAAGTAAGCTTAGTCCAGTAAGTACCTATTTGCCATCTAGGACCATAATGAATTCTGAAAGTAGAAAATTTGTTCTTCTAAGGTGCTGACTGAATATAGAGAGCAAAAGACTGAGGGATAGAAAGGTAACATCATTCTAAAGGAAGAACTATGATTTCAGGTGGGACTATAATGTTTCCAAGAAGGTTTTAAGTTCTTGGTCACAAGTGATAGTTGGTAGTTTTTCCCCCATACATTCCAGAGATAAAGTTAGACTAAAGATATTACTATGTAAAATTCATATATAAGGATAAGTTTATGAAAAACAATTTACCTATTAAATATCTTCCACTGTAGAAGGGTTTCATTTACCTGCAGTGTCTACTACTATGTATCTGTTTACTAAATTCCCAGGACAGTGTTTATCTATACATTTGCACGCCAGGTCACATTTATTTTACGTACAAGGAGTTTTCTTTTTGTTGTTGTTTTGGGGTGGGGGTTGTTGTTTACTTTTAGTTTTCAAGATTTGAGATTTCAAAAAAGTTTGGATTTCTGACTTAGGGGAAAAAATCATATCGAAGCTACAACAGTTGGAGCTCATGGCCACAGCCCATGGCTATGCCCTTTCAATGGGATGTATGCACTCTAATACCATCCCCCCCCATCCCTAATCCCTACCTAGTTTCTCTCATCACACACTTTACCTGCTTCCTTACTGAAAGGGTGACCATTTTATATCTGTCTTCACACATATTCATTCCCTAACAGGAGATGAATTAAAGGACCAAAGCCTAGAATACTAATTGTTTCTTCTCTTTTTTACAGCTCAGTCTTCTCCCTGGGTTCCTGTTTCTGCTAATGAGTGGGGCACAGTGGATGAGGAGGTAACGACCTCACATCTTCCTGCCCGGTCCCAGGTGAGTGGTAATTAGCCTCCCTGGCCTTCCTTCCTAGAGTGTTCAGTCACAATTATTTCCTTTGTCTTCATTGCCTTCAGATTGTTACACCCTCTCCAAAAAACATTCCCCACCCCTGCCATGTTCTTTTCCAGAGAAGATTAGACCCAGTCCTGTGAATAATGAAATGTTTCTCTTATGCTATGACTCCTTATTGCTTTGTTTGGCCTACAAGACACAGCTGGCTCCTTCATTCTCATTCTTCAGAGCCTCTTCTGCTTCATTCTTGATCTCACATCTTTGAAGACGCAGCACTTACCTTGGTAGTCATTGGTGTTGTTGATGTTGGTGTTGTTACAGGAACCCCCAAGAGATACCCACACAAGAGGGTTTTCCTACAGAAAGAGAGTAAACCCGATTCCTGCTCACACAGGCTTCTGCCGGGATGACAGGAAGGAGAGCGCTGGGAACAGGGTCTCCCTAGGTAAGAATTCTTCCCTTTACAAGTAAAAGTGATTTCCCGTGGACTCCTTCCTTTCTAGTAATTAAACAGTCAGAGTCAGTGTTAGTGCTCAAAGGAGCTCCATAGTCCTCTAGTACAATCACACGTCTCACTTCCAATGAAGAAAAAATATAATAACTTAGGAATTAAAACATTGGAAAGGAGTTAGTGCAAAGAAAACTGTCAACTTTTAGAAAATATAATCTTTTTTTTTGAAAATTTTTTTTCAATTTTATTTTATTTTATTTGTGAACATACTGTACAGAGGGTTTACAATTACATGGGCAGGATAATGCGTACATTTAGAAAATATAATCTTATACACATTCACTTTATTAAATGTTCCATGAAGTCACAAAGTCTTTTGGATTTGTTGTTAATAATAACCCAACTGCTAACACAGAGCCACCTAATGTATTTGTTGGATGAGTGAATGGAAATCTTAAAAATAATGAGAGGAATTAATTTAAATTCTAAAACCTCCATAGCATGTTGTGATTCATTTAAATGGCACAAATTTACATGCACACATGACCACTACTGTGTCCATCTACAGGCAGATTTTTGGGGGATTCATTTTATGTGCTTTAAGAGAAAGGATAAGTTGAATTCATTCATGTATAAGCTTTTACTCAGAAGTCAAAGAGTACTTATGAGTAAAATGATAGGCCAAAAATGTACGCTAATATCAATATATAACTCCCATTTTGTATATATGTATAGGATACAGTTATCCAATCTAATGCCATTAGTCACAAGTTTATTACATTAAATAAAATTCAAACTTCCTCAGTGGCAGTAGCCACTATATCAATATTCAGAAGCCGCATTGACTGCACTGTTACAGGCCATTTCTAGAATCATAGAAAGTTCTGTAAGACATACAAACACAAAATAGAAATTATAAAATGAGCCATATCAAACTGAATGGACAAATACAGATTAATAATGTCTATTTTTATGAAGCAGTTTTTTTTTTAAAGGATCAATTTTAAATGACATACCAGTAACAATTCACCCTTGAAAAACAACAAGGCATCTTGAGCCATCTTTCTGGTTGTGCACACAAAACACCCATCATACCATTGCTCTGGAGCACATGGTATCATATTCTGGTAGCACGTTGACTTAGTGTCCTTAGTAAAATTTGCCTCTAGTAGCAAGTGAACATACCTTTAGAAATCAGGGAATCAGGTCACATGGAAGTCATATTGTTAATTCGTACCCAGAAATGGTGTAACTGGTCCTCATGGTAGTTGTACTTTTAATTAGAGGGAACCCCTAGGTGAATAATACTGTTTCCCATAATAGCTGTACCAGTTTATGTCCCCACCAATTGTATAGTGTTGTTTTCTTCACTTCCTCTCCAGCACTTGTACTTTTTTGTTTTGATGCTATTAGCTATTCTAACAAGTGTGAAGCGGAGCTCTTGGTGATTGCTGGTTAGTGAGGCTGTGAGTAGCTGTCCATGAACCTGTTGGCCATTTGTATATCTTATCTAATCAGGTCCTCTGCCCTTTTTTAATCAGATTTTTTATTTTTGGGATTCCTTATGTAATTTATATTTTAAAATCTTATCAGATATATGACTAATTTTATTTTCATTCTGTTGGCTCTCTTGTTGTTGACTCTCCTTTGCTACACAGAAGGTTTTTTAATTAATGTAGTCCAAGTTTATTTTTGCTTTTGTTGACTGTGCTTTCAGTGGTATATCAAATAAATATACACACACATACACACATATGGACGTTATGGTTTCTGGTTTTACATTTTTGTGGGTAGGAAGATAAGGGTCAAATTCCACACCCTTGAATGCAGATATTCACTTTTCCCAGCACCAGTTTTTGAATAGACTTTCCCTTATCAAAGATGTAAGTTGACCATAGATGCATGTATTTATTTCTGGGATCTGTTCTCATCTACTGTGTCAGTTTCATCTTGGTACCATACTATTCAATTAGTATAGTTTTATAATAGTTGAACAAAAAAATCCTTACATCTCTGAAAGTCTCGTGTGTTTGTTGAGGTAGACAAGGAGGGGATAGATATGGGGTATAGCAAAAAAAATTACAGATTATTTTGTAACAAATATGTGTCTGGAGCATACTCTGAACCTTACACAACATCAGCTACTAATTTGTAATTGGTGGTAACAAATGTGCCTTACTCTCTTTTTTTTTTTTTTGCCAGTTCTGGGCTTGAACTCTAGGTCTGGGCGCTGTCCCTCAGCTCTTCAGCTCAAGGCTAGCACTCTACCACTTGAGCCACAGCTCCACTTCTGGCTTTTTCTGCCTATGTGGTGCTGAGGAATCGAACCCAGGGCCTCATGCATGCAAGACAAGTGCTCTACTACTGAGCCACCGGTAGAGCGCTTGCCTTACTCTCTTTTTTTTGCCAGTCCTGGGGCTTGAACTCAGGGTGTGAGCACTGTCCTTGAGCTTCTCTTGCTCAAGGCTAGCATTCTACCATTTGAGCCATAGTGCCACTTCTGGCTTTTTCTGTTTATGTGGTACTGAGGAATCAAACCGGGGGCTTCATACATGTTAGGCAAGCACTCTACCACTAAGCCACATTCCCAACTCGCCCTTTTCTCTTTTGTGGGGCTTGAACTCTGGGCCTGGGCACTATCCCTCAGCTCTTCAGTTCAAGGCAAGCACTCTACCACTTGAGCCATAGTGCCACTTCCATTTTTCTGGTGGTTTTTTGGAGATAAGAGTCTCACGGAGGGGGAGAGGGGGGAAGATGGGAAGGGACAGGAAGGGGAAACAAAGGAGGAGGCAACAATGCTTGATAAGAAATGTACTCATTACCTTGCCTGTGTAATTGTAACCCCTCTGTATGGTATTTTCACAATTTAAAAAAATGTCTCATGGACTCTTCTGCCCGGGCTGGCTTTGACCCACGATCCTCAGATCTCAGCCTCCAGAGTTGCTAGGATTATAGGTGGGAGCTACTGGCACCCAGGTCATGTCTTACTCTTAAAGGTAGTATTCCTGACAGAACTAGCAAGGAAAGGAAGTACATAATACATGAAAGCAAAGCCTCAGCATTGTAGAGGGCACGTGAGCAAAGGCACATGTGGTCATGACTAAGGAAAGCTTTGGTGGGTCCAGCAGAAGACTGGGGCATGCCGTAATGACATCCCTGCAGTAATGTGAAATGTTTATCTTTCCGTAGTGTCTGCATCTAACAAGACAGCCCGGTTGGAACAAAGAAAGGAGCCATGGACTGTAGGCCTACATTCCTTGAATAAGAGGAGCATCCTGCAAAGCAGCTATGTCAAGGAAAAGGCAGTCCATGCTGTTCAGATCCCTGCCAGGAGTGCCGGGAAAGCATGGAAGGAGCCCCAACAATGGGGTTTAGAAGATGAAAAAATAGCAGGTGTGCACTGGAGCTACGAAGAAACTAAGACTTTCCTTGCAATTCTCAAGGAGTCTCGTTTTTACGAAACACTCCAGGCTTGCCCCCGAAATAGCCAGGTGTACGGTGCTGTGGCTGAATGGTTGCGAGAATGTGGTTTCCTCCGAACCCCAGAACAGTGTCGGACCAAGTTCAAAAGTCTTCAGAAAAGCTATCGGAAAGTCAGGAATGGCCACGTGCTAGAACCTTGTGCCTTCTTTGAGGACATGGATGCTTTGTTGAACCCTGCAGCCCATGCGCCGTCTGCTGACAAGCCAAAGCAGGTGATCTCTCTTCCCCGATTGAAGAGAATTGCTGTCTGCGCGAGAGAACAGGTCAGTTTGGTGGAGGAGGAAGCTGCTGAAGAATCTGATGGGGATGAAATGGGCGTTGAATTTATCCGCAAGTCTGAAGTCCGTGGTGCCCCTGTCTTGTTTCAAAACCTGAGTGGTAAGGATCATGATAAGTTCCTGGTCTTAAAACAGAAGTGTGGTCTTGGGGAAAAAGAGGAGATGAGACACAACCAGAGCTAGGGAGGACTTGCCATAAATCCTGCAGCCTTCACTGTGGTATGACCTCATAACTGAAAGTGCACTAAGGTGTTTCTGACTAGCACTAAGAGAGTGCAGGTAGCACTTCTGGCCGGCCAGGAGGGTCTGCTTCCAGTTTAGAGTAAAGCATTGGATTCTGAACATTTGGGAACTTCTGGAAGGAAGATAGAGAAGCTGAATGGTTCTCAGGCTCTACTATTATTTGAGAGTTGGTATAAAGTAGTCAGTTGTATTAGCTTATAATAAGTGTTTTACACCATTTAGGATACCCAATAAAAAAAATTTTGAAAGAGTGAAAAACTGAAAGTATATTTTTTGTCTAATGTAAAACTAGTAGAAAGAAGAGAGAAACACAAAAAAGATGAGTTAAATAGGAAAACAACAATGCAAAAGCAAGTGTAATTCCAAATACATCATTAGTTACAAAATTATACAACTAAGATGGTCACACATTTGAAAATCAACTACATGCTAGGCCCTAAAGGTTTATGCCTGAAATCATAGTTTCTTAGGAGGGTATAGGCAGAAAGGCCAGCATGAACAAACTAGACTGTCTCCAAAATAACCAGCAAAAAGTTAAGCTGAAGGCATGATTCAGATGGAAGAATGCCAGCATAGCCTAGCAAGCTTGAGGCCCTAATGTCAAACCTCAGTATCACCAAAATACAAACAGCTAATCTACACATTGATTACAGGAGATACATCTTAAATATAGAAATGAAGATATATTAAAAAGGCTATCCCTATTGAAAAGAAAGCTAACATTGAGAATTTGGGGACTGAAATACAGAATTAAATTGTCTGGTAAACTTTCTGACATGTGCACTGTGTAAGTACACAGGGTTTCTGTGTAATATGTGACTAAGACAACAGGGTCATTAATGTGTCAATATTGAATGGGATATAGAGGAGAGAGCTCTGGAAATGCTGAAATGCAGCATTACCTGGCACTGTTGTCAGCAGTGTCTTCTCTCCTCCAGTCATTAAAAGATGACAACTTCTTAGAATGGAAAATAAATCAGTCTAGGAGAGCGTGGAATACACTCAAGACTACACCTACTCAAATAGATCTGCCAAAAAGGTAGGAAGATCCCTTATGCATATATAGGTATGCACCTATTTGAGAATCTATAGACATACGGGGAGCCCCAAGGTCAGAGTGGAAGAGACTGCCCAGTAGCTATAGATGGAGGCTGGAAGTCACTGTTTCCACAATGTTCAAAGAGCACATTTAACAAATTAACACTCAGCCTGCTCTGAAAAGCATTGTTCTACTTAGTGCTGAGCACATGTAGATAACAGACTGTGGGCAGAGCATTCGATGAGTGTTGAGGGTTCAGAATCTGCACAAGGTTTTGCTCCTCAGGGAAGACTGGATAAGAACTCCGCAGGAGTTCCTGTGAGGTGTTCTAGTCCTTTCTGAGCCACTTGGAAGAGACCCTGTGAACACCTCAGTCCTTTAGTTGGTCCACAGCAGTGGCAGGTTTGGGAGAGCATACTGTAAACCTAGATCAGTTCATCCATTCTAGTGAAAAAGCCCTATTTGGATTTTGCCTTTATGGATTCATTTAAGAACTAATGTGTGTACAACTTGTGTCTTCCAATTCAGAAACAGTGCCTCATCTTTGTTCTAGTTCTTTGTATCTTTCAATATTGTTATTTTTAATATAGATCTTCTCATTTCCTGGGTATATCATATGTCCTGTTGCTACTGTGAATGGGATTTTTTTCCCTTACACTTTGTAATGGTTGTAGTATAGAAGCGCCAGACTCCTGTTCTTACATCTTTGAACTGTATCTTTGAATGGCAGGTGTGCACTGGGGCTATGAAGAAACCAAGACCTTTCTTGACATCCTTCATGAGACTCGGTTTTATGAAGCCCTTCAGGCCTGTCATCGGAAGAGCAAGTTGTATGGGGCCGTGGCAGAACAACTTCGAGAATGTGGCTTCCTTCGGACGCCAGAACAATGCCGAACCAAGTTCAAAAGCCTTCAGAAAAGTTATCGCAAGGTGAAGAATGGCCATGTGCTAGAGACATGTGCATTCTATGAGGAGATGGATGCCCTAATTAACTCCCGGGCACCTGCCCCCTCCACCAACGCTCCAGAAGAAATACCTCCACCCCCAAGGCAAGAAAGAGTGCATATTGAGGTTGAACCCCAGGAATCTACAGGCTGGGAAGCTGAGGAGAGTTCACAGGAGACAGTAATAGAAGATTCTGGAAGTGACCAGATGAGCGAGGAGGAAACTGTACAAGAGCCAGAATTCCGGGGACCTCCCAGTCTACTGCAAAGCCCACCTGGTAAGGGGTTTCAGATAGAAAGGAGATGGTGTCACGGGTCTTGTGTGTTTATTCAGTCCCTGTGTTTGTGCCAGGTGCTACTTGAGGGACAAGAAATAGCAATTTTGAATAAAACAAGCCTCTTCTCGTGGTGCTTCCATTCAGAGGAGGAACTCGTTCACATTCAGTCTTGGAGATCTCAGCCTTGGTTTTTGTCTCTATGGGCCAGGTAATATTTTGTATCTCTTGAAAATACTGTAGAGAGAAATATAGATTCTACAGGAGAAAAAACTTGGATGAAGGAGTGTCAGTAAGCTCAAATCAAACATCTCACAGATAAGTGATATTCATGAGAAAAAAAGGAAAGATAAAATGAGAGATCAGATTCTGGCCCTGAGCTACATGGGTATACACATACCACTGACAGCTCGATGCTTTGATGCTACCATGACATCACACCAGCCTCTCAGACTAAAATGTTGAACTAAAGTCACCATCTTCCTTCCTCCTCCATGGCTCTTCCATGTTCTCCATCCCACGTCCATCCACACTTACAACTTTACAGGTGATTTTAGTTCTTTACCTGACATTTTTGTTCAGGCAAGTGACACCATTCATCAGCCATCATAGAGCCTCACCTTCCCTGCCTGTCCCCTCTTCAGTTGCCACAGCCACTGCCTACTTTTGCCTTTCTTGGCTTGTTGGCCAGACTGTAAAAGTCATAAGTCTTCAGACCATCAGTGCTTTAATGCTTTACAGTCCCAAGCTCACTTTATGCCTCAGGCCTTACATATTGGCATGCACTCTATGCATATTTGAAGCAGAGCTATTTCCCACCTGCTCCTTAAGCTCTCACATGTAAATTTTAGCTCACAGTCTTCCCTCCACCCTGAACACCCTTGACTCTGCATGTCCATGGTCACATCTTCTCAGCTCCCAGCCTTTTATTGTATGGCAAATACGTTATCTTCCCTAAGACCTCCCAGTAAGTGATGAGCTCCTGAATGCTCTTTGTGTAGCCTCTGGATGCTCCACAGAAAAGAATATATGAAATAGTGCAGGTGGATTTCCTGAAGCAAGTAACTCTAGTTTGCTTGAATTGATTAGTGTATCCAAGGCATACACCTCAGAGAAGGGGATTCATACGTTTGTTCCTGGTAGTGTTTATATCAGAAATTTATAGTACAGAGATGAAACAAAGCCTTTGTGAATCTTATTTTTTTTTGCGGGGGGATTGGGGGAGAGGGGGCTCCACAGGGTTTGGCCATGGGGCTTGAACTCTGGGCCTGGGCACTGCCCCTCAGCTCCTCAGCTCAAGGCCAGTGCTCTACCACTTGAGCCACAGCGCCACTTCCAGTTTTCTCGTGGTTTATTGGAGATAAGAGTCTCACGGACTTTCCTGCCTAGGCTGGCTTTGAACCATGATCCTCAGATCTCAGCCTCCAGAATAGCTAGGATTATAGGTGTGAACCACTGGCACCCAGCCTGTGAATCTTATTTTTAAGGTGACCTCCAGACCTACCATTGAATTATCAAATTTCCTCTGTGACTTCCTCCAAAACTCAGAACAATGCCAGACCCAGTAACAAAGCCTCAAAGGACTCTTCTAGGAGCAGACATTTCTGGAGCATTTTCCTTATCTTAATGAATTGACTGATAGCTTCCTCTCTCCCATTGATGGCTACCCTTTTCTCCCCATCCTGTGCCATAGCTAACTAACCTGAATATGTGGAAGAAAAGTAATATTGAATGCCTGCTTGTAAGACTAGGGCAGTTAGCACACGCTCAGCATCAAGGGCTTGGGAAACAAACAAGCCTGGTCGGGGCCTAACTTACTCAGCTTATAAAATAGGTTTTTAGCAGTATAATGAGATGAGATGGGACCAGCTATGAATAGAAGACTGTTGAAGCTAGGTAAGAGGTTCATGGGAGTTCATTTATTATTCATACCATGTTTGACTTTCCCATGATTAAATGGAAGTACAAAAATCATAAGCAGGCTGGGTACCGGTGGCTCACGCCTGTAATCCTAGCTACTCAGGAGGCTAAGATCTGAGGATCTCGGTTCAAGTCCAGCCCGGGCAGGAAAGACCGTGAGACTCCTATCTCCAATAAACCACTAGAAAACTGGAAGTAGTGCTGTATCTCAAGTGGTAGAGCGCTCGCCTTGAGCTGAAGAGCTGAGGGACAGCACCCAGGCCCAGAGTTCAAGCACCATGACTGACAAAAAAAAATCATGTGACCAAGATGGTATCAGGACCAGAGCATGATTCCAAAGCTTATCTCTCTTCACCATGCCATGTTCTCTGCCAGAAAATCTCCAGAGAAAAGCTGGATCCAGGATGTGTCTTGCGGTACGTGTAGAATGTAGGTGAGAAAGGAAGGGAAAAAAATCATTCCACCTATGCCAGGCACCGGTGGCTCACACGTGTAATCCTAGCCACTGTATCTCAAGTGGTAGAGTGCTCTCTTTGAGCTGAAGAACTGAGGGACAGCACCCAGGCTGAGTTCAAGCCCTACGACTGATTTTAAAAAAAAACATCATTCCACTTTGGAAACAGAATTAAGATATAAGTTGGTGTGACCTCCAGGATGGCCAGAAAAAAACAGTGACAAGAGCACATGAGAGTAAAAAAATGCTCATGGATAGGACACAACTGACTACTGGTGAACATAGAAGAGGAATTTGGAATTGGTCATTAAAATGTGCCCTGAAGACTGATGTAGTATAGTGATAATACTTCACTATATCTTAGTATAGATGTGAAATAATGAAAACAAGATGAACTAGAACTTCAGAGATAAAAACCAAGTAGCTTCTGTATTGATTGTGATACAGAGAATAATGACTTGAATTATAGTTTAAAAATACTTCTCAAGCTCCTCAAAAAGCTGAGAACCAGAGATTTGAGGTTTGAAGCCATCATGGGCAAAAAAGTCTTATGAACAAAAAAAGTAGGGATGGAGTCATGGTTCAAGGGATAGAGCACCAACTGAGGAAGTAAACCAAATGATCACAAAGCCCTTAATTCAAATCCTAGTACTGCCCTTCCTCCCCCCACAAAAAAATGTGTATCTGGTAGCTTATTCAATCCTGGGTGTTACTGGCTGGCTTATAGAACCTTTTCAGAGGGTTCAGTCATAAAGCTTAAACTCAGAGGCTGGATGCTCAAGGCTAATGATCTACCACTTCAAAGCCACAGCACCACTTCCAATTTTCTGGTGGTTAATTGGAGATAGGAGGCACAAAGACTTTTCTGCCTGGGCTGGCTTTGAGCAGCAATCCTCATATCTCAACCTCCTGAGTAGCTAGGGAGACTTTTTTAAAATACAATTTTAATTTTGTTGTCATTATTAAGGTGTATACAAGCGATTAAGCCAGGTAATAAGTACTATTGTTTTGGAGAATGTAACCCCTTCCTTAACTTGAAAAAGGATATAGCATAATAAATTAGAAGAGGCACAGGATTTGTAGCCTATGAAGTATAGAGGGTTCATGATATACCATACCTTGCAGGCCAGGTTAATTTATTATGCTAAAATAACAAAAACTGTTGTGTGAGTTTGTATTGTCTTCCCCCCCCTCAGATTTTGAAATTATAAGTACTGTCAAGGAGGACCTGGCCCATGTTACATATAAGGACACAGATCCACATCGGGTGTTCCTAGAAAAGTCTAGAAGAGCTGTTTCCCAGAATGCTGATCCCAGCAAGTTTCAAAAAAGGGAATGCATCTCAGGAAGACAATGGGCAAACCTTCAAGCAATGAGACAGGGGAAGCTGATGGCTCAGCCGAGAGATTTAGGGAGAGCTGTTGTGCATCCGAGGCCTTTCGTGGGGAAGAGACCCTCCAGACTCCTCAAGTATGGAGAGAGCTTTGGAAAGAATGCCCGGCTTGTGTGCCGGATGACCCACCCGAAAGAGAATCCCTACAAATGTGGTGTCTGTGGGAAGGGCTTTGGTAGAAGCCGGAGCCTGATGAGACACCAAAGAATCCACACGGGAGAAAAGCCTTTCAAATGCCTGGACTGTGGGAAAAGCTTTAATGACTCCTCGAATTTTGGAGCCCACCAGAGAGTCCATACAGGCGAGAAGCCATACAGATGTGGAGAGTGTGGGAAATGCTTCAGTCAGAGCTCCAGTCTCGTCATCCACCAGAGGACGCACACTGGCGAGAAGCCCTACCAATGTGGAGAGTGTGGGAAAAGCTTCACCAACAGCTCCCATTTCAGTGCCCACCGCAGAGTCCACACTGGAGAGAATCCCTACAAATGTGGAGACTGTGAGAAAAGTTTCAATAACTGCACCAGATTTCGGGAGCACCTGCGAATCCACACAGGGGAGAAGCCCTATGGCTGTGGCCAGTGTGGCAAACGTTTCAGTAAGAGCTCTGTTCTCACCAAACACCGGGAAGTCCATGGAAGAGACAAGCTCCTGACACATCCTGCCTCACTGTACACCCCAGAGACGCTGCCAAAGGGGAAGAGCGAGGAGTTCAGGAAAACTTGATGATGGGCTCCTCCCCAGTCATCTGACCCCAACCTAGCTCTCGGAGTGAGGCCAAAAAGAAATTTAAAAAGTGTAGTTGACAATGTAAATAAACTAGGCCTTCACCCTGTTCTCACCTCCGCCTCTAAATTAGTCTGTCCATCTCCCATGCATCTCTCCTCTTTCGAGAAAGTGGGAAGGAGAGGCGGTCTGGGTTGGGACGGAAGTGTTGTTCGGTGTGCTGAGGCCAGCGACAGTCAAGATCCTGTCATGTGGGTAAGCGTTGATGGCCAGAAGATGAACGCCAAAAGGTTTGGTGGTGCTGGCGATCCACCGCAGGAGAAACATGACAAAAGGATTATCACCTTCAGGTAGAACTTTCTGGAATCAATCTGGTCAAAGTTGCCACAGATCCATCTTTGTTTTGAAGCTATTCCCAAAAGGAGAGTAAAGATTCTGTCACCTCCTTCAGGAGTCCTGTGTCAAGAAGCTGATCCAAATAGCTAGAGTAGAATTGCTGTGTCGTCACTGAAGTCATGTTACAGTACCTCGCCTTCCGTGAGGGGAGCCACTGATCGTCCATCCATCCTTTTCTGTACCTGATTGCTGCGCCTGCTGCCTCACCAGCCTCCAGTAATCCTGGCTCTTTCTGCCATTTTTCACAAGTCCCACACTTACCTCCTGATTCTTCTGGGTGCTTTTATCTGACTCTCCAGGACTGTCCTGTTCCACAATCATGGCAGAGGGTGCATGCTCCTGGGGTCTCGTTAAAGTAGCATTTGAGATGCGTTCTCGTTCTGTCCTATAACTTCTCGTGCCCAGAACATGACTGCTGTGTTGGCATATTTTATACCTCCCACCCCACTATCATACTACCTTTAGTGAACTTAAGCCTGCATTAGATCAGAGAGGCATCTCGGTGCAAGCCAGCAGCTCCCAGAGGACTGGCTGTTAGATAGGCTGGTCTCTGCCCCCTGAGACTTTTCATCTCTGTTAAGAAGATCTTAAACCTAACCAGATAGCCCTGAGTAGTTCTACTTTATAACTCACGCAGTGAAAGTGGAAATAGTGATAGAAACTTTCAATCCAGTACTCAGATTTGATTTTCTTCAGTTACTGTTTGGTCTGAAAAATCTCTTTGATAATCCACAGCAACAAAGGGCAGAAAAGTTCAGGTAGCGGAATAGATCATCCATATGTGGAATCACAGTTGGAACCCAGAAATCTGGTCTCCCGAAGCCAGTTGCTTCCAGGGGAGGCCAGTGGCATTTGTACCCTAGTGCACAGGTAACCCAGGGTGGCCTTGCTACAGGGAGTGGCAAGTCACAAAGCTTACTGGGACAATACCCAGAGTTAGGGCTTTGGATCATTGCTTCCATAACTCTTCTTTCCCCCCTTCTGTGAAATGCTTTCTTGTTTAAAGACATCTAGAGTTAGAATGTTTTAGTATGTTTGTGCCATTCAACAAAAGCACCAAGAAGGATGAGCTCTGTAGGAAGAAACTGTTTACAGTGTCCAAGTGGGCAGGGCCTGGTGGGAGGCAGGTGACTCAGGTAATCCTCAATTTACAGTTGCTGGAAGTGATATTTTCCATATCCCAACAGTTGTGTTCTTCCATCTTGTCCAAATTAGAGATGTGTAACAGTGTATGTTGTCATTGGGCCTAGCACAGTACACGGTGCTTGGCACCAGTGGGCATGTACTTCTGTTGTATAGGTGTTGTGCAGTTCCAGCTCTGGAGAAGACTCCATTTGCATAAGCCACCCAGCATGGTAGGCGCATGCACTGGTGATGTGGAAGCGTGACTCAGCAGTAGATGACTTTAATGCCCACTGGACACACATCCTCTGCACATGACCATGCTCTAGCTCTAGTGAGGGGTGCAGAAATGAAAAAAGGAGGTGTGCCACGTGCACTCAAGCATCTTCTGGCATGGTAGTGGGAATACTACCGCCCGTGATGCCAATTCCGTCCATTGTGCATCCTGTCTGATACCTCTCTCACACTTCCTACGGGAAGTGTGCTCCAGGTGTGGCCCACTTCCAGTGGAAAACCCATGCTCCTCTGAGTCTGGGATCAAGCCACAGTGGGATTTGTGTTCCCTGCCTGAGCTCCTGATTGCTGGGCTGTCTATATTCATTCAGTGGACTGGTCTCTGCTTAAAGAAGTGGAAGCTCTTACCTGCCGTTGTCCAAGGCTACTTGTTTCCTTGAATTGCATCTTTCTTTTTTTTTTTTTTTTTGCTGAGACATGAAAGTAAAACTAATGTGCTAGGTAATCTCACATCACATTGCTTTTTTTGAAGATTATAAGAAAGGAAAAAAGGTGTTTTGTTTTGTTTTTCCCTAAGTCTCAGTAGCAGGGAATGTTCTGATCCCAGGAGGTTAAAAAATATAGGTTACAAGCACTGTGATTTGTACAATGTAATTGCTTTTCCTTCTGACTGTTAGAAATTTCAAGAAAACACTCCACCTCAACTAGCTTAACTAAACCTATATTTATTTACATGCTTATTTTTGGTGGTACTGGGGTTTCAACTCAGGGCCTTTTGCTTGCTAGACAGGTACTCTACTACTTGAGCCAACCCCCCCTGCTCTTTTGTAGTCTTTCTGTAGGGTTGTGTTGGTTTGCTTTTTATTTATTTTTGAGATAGAGATTGAGGACTCACCTGAAGCACAATCCCCTACTATGCTTTTCACGAAGCTGGGATGACCAATGCACATCACCACACCTGGCTTATTTGTTGAGATGGATCTCACTAACTTTTTGCCTGGCCGACCTCAAGCATAATCCTCCTGAATTCTGCATCCCGAACACCTGGTTTTATAGAGATAAGCAGCTATACATGGCCTATCTTTATGTATGCACTCCTTCTTTGGGGATTGTGTCAAATCTTATCTTTAAATGGTGTAAACAAATAGGCATTTTATTCTCTGGTGTCTTATCCGAGGCATTTTAGAATCTGGACCTGTCCTTCCTGCCCACACTTGCATTATCCTCCCACAAATACCTCTACCTCTTGCTAAGGATTTATTAGTTCTTCCTGGAAAAACCTCAGTCTTTTTAAAGATGAAAACCTCATACATAGTTGTACCTAACCAGCTCAGGACAGCCAGTCACTGTGAGGTTCTCATTAGACCAGAAGCCAAGAGGAAGCGAGTCCTAGCCTTGTCCTTACCACTTACTGAGAACTGCTAGACAAATCACAGCTTTCCTCTTCTTGAGAAGTGTAATTTGAGTGCCAGGAACAACCAGGCACTTGGGTTTCTGAGGCTGTTGAACATGGTAGAGGCAAGACATAGTCTCTGGTCTGAAAACAAACCCTAGTAGCAAACAAAAAGTGTGAATCCACCTCATACTTCAGGGAGCCTGAGAGGAGGGAACAACTCAGGAGCCTGCTCAGTAAGGACAAAGACAAGCCAATCAAGTTGGGCAACAGGCGACTCCCCCTCCCCCCCAGGTACCCTGATAGCCAAAGGCAGGTGGCAGCAGCAAAGAGAGTGCTTTGTAAGGCCCAGAGACAGACTGGACCCTGCCATGAGGGGCCCAGGGACGCCCCAAGTGGAAGGTGTGGCAGAGTAACTGGTGTGACTACAACAGCCTCAGCCTGAATGCATTCCAAGACCTTGTCCAAGTGGACGACTGTCCAACATCCTGGATTAATGTCCTCTTACCTGTCTTCTTGATAAACGTGTGTGTGTGTGTGAAACAATGTCTGCAATAAATGCTCACCTTGGTTCTGCCAGAATTAGAAGGATGATGTCTTTCTGTTACGGGAAAAGAAAATGCAAGAAGGTAAACGCTAAGCCTTGTAACTAATACGAAGAGAACTGCGGCCTCATGCCAGTCACACCTAGCAGGGAGGGTCTTCCGGGGCGCCCTCATACTGCTGCCCCTGGCCTCACTGCCAAGGGGCCTAGAGAGCCTTAAGGATTGCTCGAGCACACAAGCAGAGATGGCACCTGTGGAGCATTGCAGGTGGGCTTGGAATGGAAGGTTGGAACCATCAGTGAAAGAGCCCACCTCCAAAATACCACTGGGGTGGGATTGGAGTGAATCTGAGCACACACTCAGAACTATTGCCAACAGCGGCACCGTGTGGCAGGCAGGAGACTAGCAGCACCTGCCACACGTGTCAAGGCTCACGTTTCCTCCCAATCAAGAGCACTTTGGAATTGGCATGGGTGGCTCACTTCTGTAATCCTACCTACTCAGGAGGCTGAGATCTGAGGATTGGGGTTCAAAGCCAGCCCAGGCAAAAAGGTCCCTAAAACTCTTCAATTAAGCAGGAAAAAAAGCCAGAAATGGACCTGTGGCTCGTTTGAGAGTCACTGGGACCAGTGTCACCATAATTCGTGCCCACCAAAACCCCAGGGTTCTGGCCTTATCTAGGATCTGGGTTGCTGCCATTAAGGGAAGGGTTGAGATGAGATCATACATTAGGGTGGACTACAAATGAGTGTTCTGATAAGAGACAATGACGTGCACACAGTTCTTGAGAACACTACATGAAAACAGAGACCGAAGCTGGGCGCTGGTGGCTCCCACCTGTAATCCTAGCTACTCAGGAGGCTGAGATGTGAGGATTGCAGTTCAAAGCCAGCCTGGGCAGGAAAGTCTGTGAGACTCTTATCTCCAATAAATTACCAAAAAGCCCAGGTTGTGCTGGTGGTTCAAGCAGGAGAGTGCTATAGCCTAGAGCAAAAGAAGTGCAGGAACGGCGTCCCAGCCCAGAGTTCCAAGCCTCAGGGCTGGAAAAAAAAGATACATGAAGGAAACAGAGGCAGAGATTGTGCGACACTGTCATGAGCTAAGAGCCACCAGATGCTGGAGAAGATGAGGAGGGACCCTTTTGCTAACTTTTTGCCATCTCTGGCTCCTCAATCAGTGGGATTAGAGGCATGAGGTCCTGGCTTCCTCTCCATCTAATTATGGTTGTCTTTGTTATACTCCGTTCCTCTTGAGAAATTATAGATGTTTGAATATGTGTGGGGGGGTGTGGTTTATATCCATATTCTCAAAGTTGCATGTTATTGTATTTGTGATTTTCTCCAGGAAACATTTCTTCATTTTAGTTAGGTGTTCTCATCAAAAAGGAGGTCTTTGTTTAGTGTTGATAATGGGTTTTTGTTTAGTGTTGATAATATCCAAATGATCTTCTTTATAAACAACTCAGATTCTTTTTTTTTTTTTTGCCAGTCCTGGGGTTTGAACTCAGGGCCTAGGAATTGTCCCTGTGCTTCTTTGTGCTCAAGGCTAGTGTTCTACTACTTAAGCCACACTACCACTTCTGACTTTTTCTGAATAGTGTATTGGAGATAGACACAGACTTTCCTTCCCCGGGCTGGCTTTGAACCATGATGCTCAGATCTCAGCCTCCTGAGTAGCTAGGATTGTGAGCCACCAGTGCCAGGCTTACAGAGATAGTACATGCTGTACTTGGAAGGGCTCAAGTTCAAAATGGGTGAGTGTCCTTACCCCAGGAAATGGGGGGGGCGGGTGTCACTCAGCCAGGCCAGGCACTCAGTCAGGCCCAGCACTGTGATTGGACCTTCTTCGGCACTATGAATTGAGTCTAAATCGAGTCCACGTGGGTTCAGAGCTCCAGCCTGAGCTCCTGGGCTGAGGGAGGACCAGCTCTGAGTTGGAATGTACCCCCATGTACTGACATTGGGCTCAGGAAATGGGGCTCTCCTGGCCTTCACTAGACTCAGACACCTAAAATCCCTCCCTGAATGGTTACCTCCTCCCCAGCAGAGCCCTTTCTTTTTTTTTTCCCTCAAAAGCCAACCCAAAGACACACGGAAGGAAACATTGAACAATTTATTGCAAAGCTAGGGCGGCAGCTTGGGAAGTGAGGTAGTAGGCAGGCCCCAGACGGCCTCGGGAATCAAGATCAGGAGGAGAAAGAAAGAAAGAGTGGGTAGGGCTGGGTGCCTGGCTCAGTGCTCAGCATCTGCCCAGCGAGGGGAGACCCTAGCTTGATCTCCAACACTTGGCTTGATCCGGGCACTGATGGCTCACAGGAAAAAGAAAGGGAGTTGAGAAATGAGCCGATGTGCATGAATGACCACTTCTTCCTCTGGGCCTTCTCTCCTGGTCTTCTCTCTCAAGAAATGTTCTTGTCCTCTGCCGTTTCCACTGCTCTCCTCTGGGCAGTGCTGGATGTGCGCATACTCCATGTAGAGCTATTAGATGAACCCAAAGGAATTCTGAAAACCCGAATGATCCTCAGGGCTTAGGAGCAGGCCATCTGCCTGAGAAGCCAGCCCCAGACAGTGGCTCTCCAGGAAGTAGAAGAAGCTGTCTTGTTTTGCAGCCTAAGATGGGACATCTCAAGGCACCCGGGGAAGCGGGCACTCTGCCAGCTCTGCTTCATCGCCCTTTCAGGACGAGGCGGGTTTTTGAATCTCCAATGAAGAACCTGGAAAGACACAGCTCCTTGTGACAATTTGGAAGAATGCTTCCCACTGCGACCTGGGCAGCTCTAGAAAGACCCAATCCAGTGTCTGTTTCCCAGACAGATGCACCACCTGTACTACGACCAGCCGAAGCCACTGGCTTCAGGCCAAAGGTTTTGCTAGAATGCTTATTCTATTTCCTCTGGCCTTGTTAAGTTGCTGGGAAAGAAGCATGAAGAGGTCAGGGGACATCTGGGCCTCTGTTCAACACCCCCATCCTAGCACCAAGCCCACCTAGAATAAAGGACAGCCTAAGAAAGTGTCTTGAAGCCTAAGGACTTTGAGCACTCCCTGCAGCCAGCACTACCTGAAAGCTTCTCCATTGTAGGAACCAGTGAATCCACCCCTGTGGATTTCTGTCACTTGCCACCCAAGGTTCTAGAGAAAGCCATCTCCAACCCCAGCCCTCCAGACCGGGACTCTCCAGAAGCTGTCTCCAGGGGCCCTGTGCCCCACCCATTCCTACCTAATGATCAGTCCTACAAACAGACCAGCCAGGAGTGGGCCCAGCCAGTAGATCCAATGGAAGGTCCAGTGGCCGGCCACCACAGCAGGTCCAAAGGCACGAGCAGGGTTCATGCAGGCTCCAGAGATCATCCCCCTGCAAACACCCAGGCACACAGTCACAGTGTCCCAGCCGGGCTCCACCCCACCTCCCATCCTTGTCCCCTGTTGGGCCTAGCCCCCACCCAGAACCTCAACTGCCCTTATCAGGGGTCACTGAATTAATCCCAAAGGACAAGGGGCCATCAGCACCGGGAAACCAATGGCAAGGCGCTTCCAAGATCTACAGCTTGACATTTCCACACATGCCTCCAGAAGCATGAGGGGCAAAAAACACCTGCTCCGTGACAGCAGCAAGAAAAATCCATAAAACCAAACCCAGCCCAAGCAGATCCTGCTCTGACCTTTGTTTTGGCTTCTCTGTGTTTCCCTGGGGGGGGGGTGAAAGTACCCCCTACTCCGGGGTATTTACCCTGGAGAGTAAATACGTAGGTTGCTGAGTCCCTCATGCTTCAGCCATCAAAGCAACCCCAGATGCACCCTGCCTCTCTACTGTCTATATCCTTATCCTAGATCCCAGGTTGGGATCCCAGTGCCCAGTGGGCCAAAGGCTCGTAAGTAAAGCAGTTGCCACGAGGGGGCAGCAAAGTTTCACCACAGGGCCAGTCATGGTCTCCAGCCCGCCCTAGACTGCACCTGCCAAAAGTGCCAGGACCTGACCCAGAGGAAGGCTAGAGTTGGCTCTGGATCTAAAAGACAAAAAAAAAAAGAGTTGGGCACTAGACAAGGGGCCTCCTCACCCACTTCGGAAGATAGGGGCGCTTGGCCCAGATCTACCCAATGTCCTTAACTACATCTTCTCTGCCCTCTCTCAGCATGTGTCTCCATATGTACCAAGGATTCAGTCATTCCAGACCCAACCTTGTCTCCTTAATTAATGCCTTCTGGAACCAAGAAGAAACAGCGTGACCTCATGGGTGGGAATGAATGCTTTTCGTAAGCCTGCCGCTACAGCCTGCAAAAATGTCCCCTCTTCCCTGCAAAACGTGGAGAACTTCACCTAAAACTCCAGATTGCAATGAAATGAGAAAAGATAGCCCTATACCCCCATTCTCAACCAGACAGAACTGATCCCACAGAATCAATCCACGCCGCTCCCTGTTGGCAGCCCCAAGCCAGCCTGTCTCTCTTCACTGGCAACTCGTTTTATCAAGGGAGTCTGTAACCCTCAGGCCTGGCAGTTAGTTGACCCCGAGTAGACATGAGGACATTCGCTCACTCACCCTGCCAGGATATCCACGGTGACAGAGAAGCCAATGGAGAAGGGGGCCAGCGGGCCCCGCGTCTTCTCATTGATGGCACCCATGCACACGGCCAGCACCAGCAGTGTCGTCATGATGATCTCTGCCCCCAGTGCCGCTGCCACCTGTTCCTGCCCCCGCACTGTCACAAAGGCCGCCCCGGATGCATTCCAGAACCTCTCCTCCAGACTCACCGCCTGCAGAAAGAAGAGGTTCAGCCTCCTAGCTGAGAGCAGCCAGAAGCTGGGGGCTGGGCAGAAGTACAGGCCTGCCCAGCTGGTGGGTCTGTCTGCAGGTGGACATGTCTGGGCACCTGTCCCAGCTCACTGGATGGTGTGATTCTGTGATAGCAAATGGGCCCCTCTGAGCCTCACTATACTCATCTGAAAATGGGCCTAACCCAGCAGAGGCACTAGGAACATGGGCATGAAGTCTGTGTGACATAGGTGATGCTCTTTGAGGAAAAGAATAGAAGAGTACTGTGTCCTAAACCTCTAGAAACAAACACAACCAGGAAAACACAGTGCTGGGAAAAGTCCCTGGGAGGGGCTAAAGCTGAGTGAGCTGCCTAGACATTAGATATTAGCATGGCGAAGGGGGGGGAGGGGGCGGAGGAAGGGGGGAGGAAGGGAAGGAAGAGAAAGAGAAGGAAGAAAGGACAGACAAAGAGAAGGAGTTATGTTAGATGTAGAGCTATAAAAGCTTAGTGTCAGGTGCCAGGGGCTCATGCCTGTAATCCCAGCTACCCAGGAGGCTGAGATCTGAGGATCACAGTTCAAAGTCTAATACCTAGCATGCATAAGGTTCTGTGTTGGTCCTGGGTTTCACCCCTAGCACCACACACACACACAAATTAGCAATTAATTCTTAACTGATTTAAAAATACTACAACAGAGAGGAAGAACTTGATTGGAGGGGGAGAACTTTAAGAACCAACTTCAAAAAACAACTCCCATGGAGGGTAACACAGTGTAAAGGTAGGCAAACTGCAGAATAAGCAGAGATGGTCAATGAGTTTCTTAGGAATAACCCAGCTCATTGAATGAATGAAGTGAGTAAGCAAGTGGAAAAAAAAACACTTAAAACTCTCTAAATTCAAGCTGGCTGTGGTAGTTCCCACCTGTCTTTCCAGCAAGAGGATCGTTTTAGGTAAGCCTTGGCTATATAGCAAGTTCAAAGCCAACCTGAACAGAGATCCTGCCCCTAAAACAAACAAAATTACCCAGAAACAGATTCAGGAAGAGAAATGTCACACTCTGTTGGAAAGGCTGGGTCCAGACATGGGTGAAATATACTAATCTTGGTGGGGAGAAGAGGGGGGCGTGGACTGAGGCCCATAGAGTGTTCTGCACTAGTAAAGGCCCACTCAATCCCACTGGCAGAAACAAGCACAGAGACAGCCGCCCCTCCCCCTCCCTCCCCCCCCCAGCCCATCACACCTGAAGCCATCAGTGCAACCTTCTTGGGGCTCACCCACCTTGGCTAAAGCGGCCCCGATCAGCCCCCCGCACAGCTGCGAGATCCAGTAAGGAATAAGCATCATCACGTGGAGACCTCCGATCAGCATGGCGCCCAGCGACACCGCGGGGTTGAAGTGGCCTCCGCTGTCCATACAGCAAGAAGGAAATCGTGAAGCCAAAAGTCCAGGGCTGCCCACCAAGGGCTGCCTACCCTCCTACCCCCAGAGGATGTGATCCAGCCAGTCCCCTAAGTCAGCACCAACCAACTCACTCCCATTTTCCCTGGGTTTCCAGGGGGTGGGGGTAAGAGGCCAGGGGGAGGCAGGGAAGGGAGGAACAGCCTCCAAGTCCAGATGTCAGGAAGGCCCCAGAAGATCAAACTCCTCAGAGCACTCTCCAGGCTGTCAGAGACGTGGCTGCACGTCTGACGGAGCAGCTAGGCTCAGAGCCAGTAGCCCAAGAGAGATTTCAGCGAGATAATGAATGAGTGAGCAGACAGCACACAGCATTGTCTACGTCACTAGAGTTGCTGAATATCAGCTATTGTCATGATCACGCCTTCTCCCATGATGCCCAGAGAGGCTCCTTGACTTGCTGTGGTCACCCAGCTTAGAAGTGACAGAGTCCCATTCAACCTCCCTTGGATTCAAGCCAGGTACCAGTGGTTCACACCTGTAATCCTAGCTACTCAGGAGGCTGAGATGTGAGGAGCTCAGTTCTAAGCCAGCCCCGGCAGCAAAGTCCATGAGACTCTTAGCTACAATGAGCCACCAAAAGGCTGAAAGTAGGGAGAAACTGGAAAAGAGCCAGGGAAGGGGTGACACTGTTCAAAAAGAAGTGTACTCATGCTGGGCACTGGTGGCTCACGCCTGTAATCCTAGCTACTCAGGAGGCTGAGATCCGAGGATCATGGTTCAAAGCCAGCCCGGGCAGGAAAGGCCATGAGACTCTTATCGCTAATAAACCACCAGAAAACCAGAAGTGCTGCTATGGCTTAAATGGTAGAGCATTCACCTTGAGCTGAAGAGGTGAGGGCCCAGAGTTCAAGCCCCACAACCAACAACAACAAAAACGTACTCATTACCTAACTTATGTAACTGTAACCCTTCACTTTAAAAATTAAGAAGATCTTCCATATTAAGAAAAAAAAGGTGGAAGTGGAGCTGTGGTTCAAGTGGTAGAACACTAGCCTTGAGCACAAACACTCAGAGACAGCACCCACACTCTGAGTTCAACCCCAGGACTGATACACGAATAATAATAATAAATAATGTTATTCCTATCTGGCTCAGAAAGTGACTTACCCAAAGCCACAGAGCTCCCAGGCTATGGAGCTAAGAAGTGACCCCAGAAAATCTAACTCCCTTCCCTACCCTCTTAATCACGCTGTTCCCCAATCTTGAGGGGCTACTGGGGGTCCCTTGCCAATAGGCTCCAGCAGGCTGGTCTCACCTGATATTCCCCAGCGTGGCGATCATCAGTCCCAAGGCCAGGCCATGGGCCAAGGCCGGCTGCAGCCGACCCGTGTCAGCCCCGTTCTCAATCACCGACAGACACCCGATGAAGATGAAGAGGGCCGAGCCCAGAAGCTCCACCAGGCAGGGCTGCAGGAAGCGCTCATACCAGGACACACGGCCCCTGCCACTCATGTTGGGCTCCTTGGCCCTGCTGCTGCCCAGCTCCGTGTCACACATTGGTGCCTGCGGAGAGAGAAGCAGAGGAGAAGCAGATGAGCGGAGCGTCCGCACGGAAAGCCCCCAAGCCTCGGCCTGGAAGACATCCACAGTACTGGGTCCTACCAGGCTATCTGGGAAGACACGCAGCGGGCTCACCTCCCCGGCCATCAAGACAAGCAGGCCTTACTTAGCACAGCTGCCAGCGCCAAGCGGTTGCACCTGCTATCCAGCGCACGCTTAGCTTATCTGGGAATGGGAACAGATCCGCTATGGGCTCCGTCCTTTTAAAGGGCTGGAGGTGTCAAGGAAGCAGTAAAGCCTTGGTGGGAGGTGGCCCTGGGGCCCAGAAAAGGAAACTTGTGTTTTAATTCCAGCAGGGTGGGGGAGAGGGAGAGGGGGGTCAAGGATTGCTGGGCTGAGTGCCAACCAGGCAAAGGCACGGGCCAGTTTGCATCATCAGGGCTGGACACAGAGGCGTGGGAGGCCCCGCATCCCAGCTCCCCTGTCCAGTGAGGACCAGCGGGGGGAAGGGGAGGGGAAGCAGGAGCCAAAGCCCCAGCACATGGGAATTTGGCAGGTGACAGCAAAGTCACCATCCAGTATTTTCCCACAATTCTTACAGAACTGTGAGCATGTCTTCACACCTGTCCTCACTTGATGATGTTCACGCAATGACCCCCTAACTGAGCAAGAGAGCAGAGACATTGTGTTTCTGTCCTCCCAAGGGAACATCCGTGGACACACGCGTGTGGCGTGCACGCACGCACTCACGTTTAAATGAAAGACCTCTCACTCTTTTTAAAACTTTTTATTATAAAGGTGAACTATAGGGGCGGGGAAGGTGGCTCCGTGGTAGAGTGCTTGCCTTGCATACATGAGGCCTTGGGTTCAATTCCTCAGCACCCCATAAGCAGAAAAAGCTGGAAGTGATGTTGTGGCTCAAGTGGTGGAGCACTAGCCTTGAGCTGAAGAGCTGAGGGACAGCGCCCAGGCCCAGAGTTCAGGCCCCATGACTGACAAAAAAAAGAAAGTGAACTACAGAAGGGTTAGAGTTACATAAGTTGGGGAAAGAGTACATTTCTTTTGGCCTCTCACTCTTGCTTAGCTTTTTCATTCAAGGCTAGCACTCTACCACATTTTTAGACACTAAAGGTAGGATGGGTGATTCCCAGGACTTGGAGATGAGGGAAAGAAGAATGGACAATGAATAGTGGATGGATGGATGGATGGATGGATGGATGGAAGGTGGATGGATGATGGATGGATAGATAGCTGGACAGATGGTGGGTAGATGGATGGTGGATGGATGGTGGATGAATGGATGAGTAAGTGACTAGATGGATGGTGGATTGATGGGTAAATAAGTGGATAGATGGATGGCTAGATGGATGGGTAAATGAATAGATGGATGGGTACTAGATGCTGGAAGGTGAATGAATGAATAGATGGTAGATGAATGGATAGGTAAGTGGATAGATGGATGGATAGATCGATGATGAATGATTTAATTTGATGGTGGATGGATGGTAGATGAGTAGTTAGATAAATGGATGTGTAGATGGAATGGATGGATGGATACTAGAATCTGGAGGATGAATTAATGGATGGACAATGGGTAGATTGGTAGATAGGTGGATGAGTGGACACATGAATAGAAGGAAGAGAGAGGAAGAGGAATGATAGAAGGTAAAATGGGTTTCCTTATTCATTCAACAAATATTTCAATAGCTATTGCATGCCTGTGGTTATTGCAACCTTTGGCTGGCGATAAAGCAGTAAACGACCAAGGTAACAAAGCTCTGGACTCCTAGCTGTTATCTGAGTGTTCCTATGTCAAGAAGCAGATAAAGAAATAATAGAGATACTGGTATTTTGCTGGTCATTTCTTTTTTTTGGGGGGTCCGGTCGTGGGGCTTGAACTCTGGGCCCGGGCGCTGTCCCTCAGCTCTTCAGCTCAAGGCTAGCGCTCTACCACTTGAGCCACAGGGCCACTTCCTGCTTTTTTCTTTTTGGCTTATGTGGTGCTGAGGAATTGAACCCAGGGCCTCATGCATGCAAGGCAAGTGCTCTACCACTGAGCCACCTTCCCAGCCCTTTGCTGGTCATTTCTGACCATCCCATACACATCCACCCCCACCCAAGTTGCTCCACAGCCATTCTCCCCCACCCACCACGAGACAAAGCAATGAGCCCTTGTGAGCTCTCCTCCAGGTGATAAAGTTAAGGCACAGAGAAACTAAAGAACTTTCTCAAATGGGTGTAGATTAGACCTATCTGCTACAGGGCAGAAGTGGCTACATCTACTGCCGGATTAGACAGTGGTGCTGTGGAACATCCCACACATCAGAAGGCTTGGGTATTATCTCTAGCCTGTCCTCTCCCCGCCCCTATGCACAGCCCCTGTACACCATGCCTTGCATCTTCCTTCCTCGTCCCTAAGGACACCAAGATAAGACAGACATCCATCTCTCCGCCTCCTTCTTGCCTTCATTCTTTGCACAATATTCCTTCCGGTGAGACTTCCAGACTAATTCTTTCCTGTTTTCAACCAGATCTGAGTGTCTGTGCATGTGATTTCTTGCTTAAAACAAATAAACACAACTGCCCAGCAGGTGCTGGTGGCTAATGCCTGTAATCCTTGCAACTCAGGAGGCTGAGATCTGAGAATGCTGAGAGTGCTGTTCAAAGCCAGCCTGGGCAGACTGTGAGACTCTTATCTCCAATTAACCACTCAATAACGGGAAGTGGAGCTGTGGATCAAAAGTGGTAGAGCACTAGTCTTGAGCACAAATAGGTTCAGGAATAGGCCCTGAGTTCAATCCCCACCAACCAAAACCAAAACCACTGATGAAAGTGAACTGTCCAACTCATGGGTGGAGACAGGAAAGAAGGACTGGGAGACAGTAAGGGAACAGAAGACAGTGTACCTGGCTCACATAATTGTAATCCCTCTGTATATCATCTCTATAATATCAATAAATTATACAAATAACTTTGGAGGCTTCACAAACACATACACACACACACACACACACACACACACACACAACCTACCCTCTACTACATGCCTACCATTAGACCCCGCATTGAACTCCTGTGATCCTTTCTTTCAATTAATACTTACAATGACTTGTCACTTCTACCTTCAATTGTCCAGAGCCCCAGGTTGCTTTATTTCTATAGTCACTAAGCCCTTACCCAATTCTCAGTCATTCCTTTTTAGTGACAGCCAGCCCGGCACAGTTTGGTACTTGCATCTGGATTTGGGGAATGTACTGTATCTCGCCTGCTAACAAAGCAGCTTCCATTTCTTGGGGGGAGGGGAGGGAAATAGTTCAATGCCATAACCATAATAAAAATCGATTTATTGCCAGGCATCAGTGGCTCACACCTGCAATCCTAGCTACTCAGGAGGCTGAGATCTGAGGATCACGGGTTCAAAGCCAGCCTGGGTAGCAAAGGCTGTGAGACTCTCATTTCCAATTAATGATCCCAAAGCCAGATGTGGGGATATGGCTTAAATGGTAGAGTGCTAGACTTGAGAGAGAAAAAAAGCAGAGGGACAAAGCCAGCTGCCAGTGGCTCACTCCTGTCATCGTAGCTACTCAGGAGGCTGAGGAATGAGGATCATGGTTCGAAGCCAACCTGGGCAGAAAAAATCCCCCTGTGACTCTTATCTCCAACAAACCACTCAGAAACCAGAATTGGTGCTGTGGCTCAAATGGTAGAGCCCTGAACACAAAGAAGCACCCAAGCCCTGAACTCAAGCTCCCAGATTGGCACAAAACCAAACAATGGAGCCCCCTTCTGTGCAGATAGGTGGTCCATAATTCTCAAACTCCTCTGCTGTTGAGTGAAATCATGTGACCAAGTGGAAGCCCGTCAAACGTGATGGGAAAAGGAGCTTGCCATTCATATTCCCAGCCCATGGCAACCTTCTCCAGAGCATCCACTTTCCCTCTTTCCCTATTGGCTGGAAAAGATCGGAGAACCTTGATGGCCCAAGATGGAAGCAACCTGGTTCTGAGTGGTGGGTAATAAATTAATGTGTGTGTGTGTGTGTGTGTGTGTGTGTGTGTGTGTGTGTGCGTGCGCACGTATCTGTCTGTCTGTCTGTCTGTCTGTCTCCATGTCCTGGGGCTTGCACTCAGGGCCTGGGTGCTGTCCCTGAACTTTTATGCTCAAGGCAGAAGGCCCTAAATCTTCTGATTTGCTCCACCACTTGAACCACAGCTCCACTTCTGGCTCCTTGGTGGAGATATGACTCTCAAGGACTTCTTGCTTGAACTGGCTTTGAACCTTGATCCTCAGATCTCAGCCTCCTGAGTACATGGATGACAGGTGTGAGCCATTAGCACCTGGCCACCTCTTCCATTTCTGAAGCCATGTCTGCACAGTGGTGGAAAGAGATCTGCAGCTGTACATCCAGAGTGCATTGGGAAGGAAGTTGTGTCCACAGTCCACCTGCTCCAGTTCGAGGAGGGGTTGGGACCCGAGTGACTTCCTTGTGGACATCACCAGAACCTTCTGTGCTCCCCAGCAGAGTCAAGTTCAAAGTCTGAGTCACAACTACCAGAGGCCATGGCCATTTGAGAGCTCTTGGCTGCCAGGAAGTTGCTGGGCAGAGGAAGCAGTTGGCCCAACCTCCTCCTCTTGGGGTGAGTTCCTGCTACCAGCTTGCTCTGAATAATGGAATGATAATAAAGATGGCTGCCACTTCCTGAGGACCAGCTGAGAATTCAGCACTACTGTGATCGTTTAGCCAGAACATTTCCATATCCTTTTCTTTCTCTTTTCCCTGATGCACGAAACAATTTCCACAAAAGAGGAAATCCATGGGGCTGGGAAGGTGGTTCAGTGGTAGAGTGCTCACCTAGCATGCGTGAAGCCCTGGATTCCTTTCCTCAATACCACATACACAGAAAAAGCCAGAAGTGGTGCTATGGCTCAAGTGTAGAGTGCTAGTCTTGAGCAAAAGAAGCGCAGGGACAGTGCTCAGGCCCTGAGTTCAAGCCCCA